CATTTAAAATGCAATGAATAATTAAGAAATACAAGTTAATAGATAGTCATCTATAAAATTAAGCTTGAAATCATGTTAGTTAGGTTTTCTAGATATACAGAGACATATTTCAGGGTAGCTATTTTTCAAATCTTTCAAAGACTTACAGAATATGGCATTTAAATGTTTTAAAAACTTAGGACTTTTCATGACGAGACACATCTGCTCCTGGCAGCACCATTTACTTCAAGAGGAAGATGGGCATCGAAGAGGCTCCTTATGAAGTTGGTTAGCCATTTGGGCAAGAAACTGCTTTTACCTGGAGTGCTTTGATGTTATGCTGTATGACCTGGACATACAGAACCCACAGAAAAATGACTGCTAAACTTGCCTAAACTAAAGGTGAGATGGTTCTTTGGGGTTCCTGCTTCATCAAAGAGTCTGCCAGACATTCTGCAGGACACAGAAGAAAGCGACTGACAAAATGCCAGTATAGGTGGAACTCTCTTTGAAATATCCTGCTTCATGGAAAAGTGTGCTGGATACTATGGGCCTGTAGGCTGAAGATGGATGCCCCTACAGTACAGAAGAATTTTGGGTGGCTGGCCAGGCAGCGAGATGTCTCTGTCAATTCTAGAGTTTTGGAAGTTGCTTATAATGTACTTCCTGTTAACTCCAGTAATATTATATCCTTCTGAGGCCTTTGATGGAGTTGAAGACTAGATAGTTATAGTTTTCCTTAGTTATGATAAAAGATAAAGTAGATTTAAGTACTGTAACTGTAATTTTTGGTTGATAACTATTTTGTTGTATGTAATTTTGCCATGCTAAAGTTAAAACCTTCCTCCTTTATCAGACAGAAAAGGGAAGGTGATGCAGGATCCCCTTCTGTATACTGTGAATATGTTTTATCGTCATTGGTTAAGAAAAAAAGCTGTTTTCAGCCAATGGCTTAACAGAGTAAAGTCAGGTGGGAAATGCAAACAGAGAGAGACAGACAGACAGACAGAGAGTAGGCAGAGTCAGGGAAACACCATGCAGCCTCCGGAGGAGAAAGACATCCCTCTCACCTGCCAGTAAACCACAAGCTTCACGGTAAAATAAAAAAAAAAAAAACAAATGGGTTAATTTAAGATGTAAGGGCTAGCTAGAAATATGCTTAAGCTACTGGCCAAACAGTATTGCAATTAATATATTTTCTGTGTGATTATTCCAGGTTTGGGCAGTCGGAAATGAACAAGCAGCCTCTGCCTACAAATTCTAATGTACTACAGGAATTTATAAAAAGAATTATAGAAAACAGTGCTTATCTAGTAATACATGCTGTGTGGGTCTGATGTCACAACATACACAACACAGAAAGCCTCAACAGACATTACATATTCACATATAACAACAGCTAGAGTATATTTAGTCCACGGGCTTCGGTTCAGCTAATTTCACTTACATCTATTCGTTTGACTTTTTCTTCTTGAGTCAATGTTTTATTAAATGTATGAATCTTTATTTTATATGTAGACTCTGAATAAAAAAAAAAAAAGACTGACTGGAATTGTGCTGACCCTATCCCCGAGTGTTGAAAGAGTGTATCATAGTGCCTCTCTCTCTACATTCAGAACTTGAAAGCTCAGCCTCTAAAGTATGTATGCTTTTTACACTACTGCAGAATTGGAATATCAAGAAGTGAACTATCATAAAGAGAGGATCATTTATATAATAAAAAATGTACCCCTTACTCCACTTACAATGCTCAAACTGAACAAACAAGACAAGTTAAGTAAGTAAATGTTGCCTTTATACATCACATAAATCTTACCCTCTAGACAAAGAAATGTTATTATCAGTGATTATTCCAGTGCTGAGATTAGCGTTGCTCATAATTCTACTATGTCTTTATAAAGCACATGATCTGTTGTCGAGAATATTGACTAACTGCACTTACAGTAAGTATCCCATGTCAATGAAAAGGTCACAAAGGACGTTTTGTCTTTTTATTCACAGGAACCAGAGTGTTTTATATCAAATGAAAACTTTTGTTGTCTCAGCATCCGTTAAACAATGTCATTGGTGAAATTCTTTTATGAATAGAGTGGCACTATTTTGTGAATATAAAGATGTGGTGTAATGTGGTATATTGTGGTATGATGTCACTCCTGACAGTGTCATCTTTCTTTTGATAGTATTAGCTGTTTGAAAACTTTTCCTTAAGCCAGATTAGATTCACATATTTTTCTATCATGCAGACAATTGCCTCTGAGGCCTTGGGACACTTGTCTGTAAGCACTTTTTTTTCAGAGCCTCACATTTTATAGATTCTTAAGGAAGATTCATACTCACTCAACCACAGAAGAAATATACTTAACCATTTATATGTTGTATTTTAAATTCCCAAAAGGTAAGAGAAGGACATCTATCATTATGATCAGCAGGAACTCTCTTCACAAACCACACAAGTGCATGGCATTATCAAGATATATGGATGCAATCGTCCAAAAAAGAAAGCATTAAAGTTATGTGCAGAGACAAGGCACCCCAGAAGCCAGCATTATTTTAATCAGGCAGAATGGAAAATGATTTATATCAATGCATTTTTATAGAGCATTAGTTAGCAATTTGTTGTTTAGGATCAATTCACCATGTAAAGTACGTTAGGAACTATGTATCTCAACAGAATGCTATGTCACCTATTTTCTCTACAGTTTCTGTGGAAGAGAATCTGTAGAAGAAATATTCAGAATTGAAACTGCAGGATTTAAAACACAGTTTTAAAGAAAGCAGAGCATACTCGGTAACAAAGCAAACTTCCACAGTTAAAGAAAGCAGAGCATGTAATATTAAAAGTTACCTGAAACTAAGCTATTGGTAAGGTATTGAGACCCATGTAGACAGCTTTCAAGATGTTCTGAGAAATTGATAAATAAAAGCATCCTTAAGTCAATAGAAGTAACTGCAAAGACTTGCCTGTGGGCTGTGACATTTCTAAGGAACTAGACATAACTGAATTCTAGTTCTTGTATTTTTTCTAGTGATAATGGCTAAGTTATTAAGAGAAGAATTCTGTTTGGGGAGATAAAACAAAAATTATCCATACAACTCAAAGCTCATTATAGCACTGAACTGAAGAATTTTAAGCGATCAACAAATCAATAGAGAAGTTGATGCCACTCAGCTTCAGACGCACATGTATGGGTTTTATGTAGTTTTTCTTGTCCCTTTTTTCCTTCAAAGTGCCTCAGTGTTTTGTTTTTGATGGGTTTTGGCCATTAATAAAATAAAAGTGATGTTTCCTCCTTTTTCTGTTTTATCTCATGGAAGTATAAGGTCATATAGAAGAATTTCTCTTTGGACTGCCAATTCACAAAAAAAAAGAGATGGGAACTTATTATTAATTATGAAAGCTCAGTATATAACATAAGATTTTCCAACTAGCTCTTATAAGTAGCTCTTAAAATAATCTATTCATATTAATCTATATTTTTTCTCATCACTTTTTACCCTTCTTTCATCACTCACTTCCTGTTTCCTCCTTGTGTTCTGTGGCATCTCTCCCGTGACTAGATTCATCTCCTCTCCTTCTCTCTCTGTCTAAGTTCTACCTAAGCTCTTCCATGGCCATTCAGCTTTTGATTAAACCTATCAGAAGGCACCATGGCAAAGACACATTTTTACAGTGTCTTTGATTTATATCAATGCATTTTTATAGAGCATTAGTTAGCAATTTGTTGTTTAGTATCAATTCACCATGTAAAGTAGGTTGGAAATGTATCTCAACAGAATGCTATGTCACCTATTTTCTCTACAATTTCTGTGGAAGAGAATCTGTAGAAGAAATATTCAGAACTGAAACTGTGATGGATTTATTTTTTATTATCCTAAATATCCTTTAAGGACTAAAACTTTACATTACCTTTTCAAATGGGCTGCATAGGCACAATACCTTAAACAAGAATAGAAACATATATACACAATAGCAAACATAACCTTAAATTTGTATCACTATACAAAGGTTCATACAAATGTAAAATATATGAGACTAGTTTTTGTTCAAAAGCAGACTCAACAGCCCATCCCTTTATTCCAAAATTTCTATACTATTCCCCTCTTTTCCCTTCAGAAAGACATCCGTGAATCTTGTCTCCTTGGTTTACCTATTTGCCTCACCATGACCAAAAACAACTTGTCGTCAACACCCCTAAATGATGACAAACATTCATAATCTATCAAACAGCCAAAAGCCTTCCTGCCCATCTCTTGCGAATGTGGACATCATTTTCTCTATTCTTTCTTTTGTATGGGAGCAACAGCATCTTTAGGGGATCCTGAGAAATTTAGGATAATGGTCAAGTTCTGGGAGAGCTAATTATAACATTTGTTGCCCAGTCTCTGTGCAATGGGAAAGCGTGAGGCTTATCAACAATCCTGGCTAGAAAAGTCAGTGAGGCTGGACCATCTCCATCAGCAGCCTTGAAACTCCTCTGGATGCAGAACTCTAAGGAAACTGTAACAGAGACACTCTGAGAGGCTGTTTCACCTGGGCTACCTGTTTTCAGTGGTATCTCATTATTTGCTCTGAAAACACAATCTTGATTCGATTCCTTGATTGCTTCAAGGTTTAGAGTCACCAGGTTTGATCTGGTATAAGTGAAAGATCTAATTAATAACAATATTGATTATGAAAGCTCAACTTATAGCTTAGATTTGTCCAATTATCTCCTATAACTTAAATTAACCATTTATAATAATCTCCATTTTGCCTTGTGATTTTTTGTCTGTCTTCCATCTTCCATCTCCTGTTGCCCCCGTTCTCTGTCATCTTTTCTGTGCTTAGATTCATATCCTCTCCTTTTCTCTCTACCAAGAAGTCTTGGCTAACCTATTCGTCTAAGTTATTGGCCATTTAGATCTTTGTTAGACCAGTCAGAAGATGTTATGGCCGAGACGCATCTTCACAGTGTGCAAAAAGAGTATTCCACAACAAGGTAGCACTTTGTTTGCTTTTGTCCTTTCTTGGACAATTTTTAGTTTGTAGCTAGGGGGTTAAAAGGGCTGCCTGTGATGGGCAGACAGCCCAAGTTATGCAGCAGGAACTGCTATGGTGCAGCAGTTTATTACCCAGTGCCACAAAGAGGAGCACCAGAGGCAGTGCATCTTAATACTGAACCCTACTTTCTCCCTTCAGACTGAACTACAGCAACTACCTGTCTCTTGATTCTCTCTCTCTGGCATGACTTATTTATCTTAAATTATTTATACTGACATGTCATCACCCAATACTAATCTCTCCGCTGTTACCATTAAATATTCTGGTTCGTTGTGTAACCAACCTCTGGGAAATGGGTTTGTCCTTTGAAAATGTAGTCCCATCTTTCTTTGAAATTATAAGCATACCCTAGTATTGAATTTTTTCACTTTTCATGCCTCACTCATAGATTTATCCATGTCCAGTCATAGCACAATCTCATGCTTTTTATCATTTTTCTTCCTCTTTAACTGAAACACATGTTGAGTGGTTTCATTATGTAATGTCACAAGTTATACACACAGGTGTATATTTCTATATAGATAATAAAATCTCTTTCTCTGAACTCAGTGTCCGACATAATAACACAATGCTATTCATCACTCTCATGAGCTTCCTTGCTGTCCTATTTGCTTCTTTTTCTAGAAGAGAATGATTTTCTCAACTTTGTCTTGCAAATAGTTTTTGAAAAATTTGATCTCACACACTGCTACTTATAAACAATCTGTTTCGCAATCTTTCTTCAGTAGAGTATATGAAATTGTATTATGTTCCATACAGTTTTCTGAGGATTGCTTCTATCTCAATATGATATTGGCACTTATACTTGTAATACATTGCCTTTCATTGATGGATGAGATTACAACACGCGACTGCACATCACGAATTACCTATGAATCTCTCTGTTGATGTGGATGGAGTTGTTTTCTTCCTTCTCATTTTGATTAAGACTACTATGAAAATCTTATACATGTCTCCTGGCAAACACATGGTTTTGTGTAAGGTTGCTTGCCGAAGAGTAGGAAAACTGATGGTTTTAGGATATGAGGATGTCTAAATTAAAAGAAAATGATAAATTATTTTTACAACCTATTTTACAATTTTGCACAACAGCCATCAGTGTTTTCCCCTCTAACTTCTTAGACAATCCAATCCACCTAATATTTTTTTCCTCTCTATATCACTATATCCTTCAACTTCCCAAATCTCCTGGGAGAATTGCATTTTTAATTTCTTTGCATTAGGACTCTGCATGAATATCAAAGCAGGTCTACGATGTCTCCAGACAAATCAGCTGTCTTTCTGCTTCCTATAGTGTCTCCCATAATGTACATCTATACAGGAGATGTAAATTCATTTTCTTTTCTTTCCACTGTAGATGCAGAAAAATGCATTTTTAATGAATCATTTTATTTACTCTTATCTTCCTTCTTGCCAACTTCAAAACTTAAATTCTGTGATGAGCTGACTCCTGCCTCACTCCACATGACTTCCACTACATAACTTGGTGGGGGCTCTAATCCAAGTGTGTTCATTCCTAAGCAAATTGTTTGCTCTCCAAAAAGGTTTAAGTCGTATTTAGTAGCAAGTTCTTGCATTTTAAAAATCCATGGACATGCTTAGGGAACATAAAAGTATTATAAAACTTAGTGTGTCTGCAGGCCAGTGTAATAATACTAAGAGCAAAGAACTTGTCCCTTATCAAGTTCTCTCAAGAATGAGCCCTTTAATAGGTTATCCAATACCAAGTGGTCAAGCCTACAGTCATATACACATGATAAATACTAAACAGATTCAGAATGCTGTATTTATGTATTCAAAAATTTATATGCTATATATGTATATATTTATTTATATATTTTATGTGATAAAAGAAAAGAGGTCTGGAATTATAGAGGAAGTGGGGAAGCACAGGAGGGGTTGGAGGAAGGAAAAGATGCAGTTATATTTAAATTTTTTTGTTGCTGTTGCTGTTTTAAAAAGGAGGCACAGAATTAATTACCTTTAAGATATAAAAATCTTTGTTTTTTATATTTTTATTACTTAAAACAATAAGATCCTTAGTTCCAAATAAAAATCTATATTTTTAAATAATGTATTTCAAATACACTAAAACCAAGGGAATGTGACCCTTATCTTGATACATGACATAGTCTCCAGTTATACAGCAAACAGTAGGTCAACAAATAACAAGATTTTCTTTGGTTCTGCTCAACCAATGGTTAGTATTCAAGAAAGCCACAAATCACTCTAGAATTATTTTTACTTATGAATGATTTGTATGGTTTGCCTCAGTGATCTGAGGGGCTTTCAGTAGAGAAAATGTGTGCACATTTGCCTCTGTGTGCATGCATGACCACGTGTGTGTGTGTGTGTGTGTGTGTGTGGTTGAAGTGGAGAGATGTTTGAAGATAAGAAAAACCACAGAAGATATCTTGGTTAGTAATGATGAACTTAATTTTGAGAAATAGATGGACAAAAGATCAAATATATCAGTTGCACATTTAACATGATTTTAAAATATGGAAACTTAGACAACATGAGGTGAATTGAGCAAACAATTGTTTTAAATTTTTGAAATGTCACAGCTCTTATTTTAGAGTAAGAGACTTTAGAAAACGAATGAAATCTAAGATTTCTCTTTGTGATAATTAATCTTCACTGCCAATTTTACAGGATTTAGAATTATCATGGAAATTCATCTCTATGTGTGTATAGAAAGATGTTTCTGCTTCCTCAGAATCTGAACGGTAACATCCTGTGGGCTGGGATGCTGAACCCCATTAGAAAGAAGAAAGACAGCTAAGCTCCAGTATTCATCTTGCTCTACATCTCGAATGAGGACATTATGTGACCAGCTGTCTCCTGTCACAGTCACCAAGTCTTCTCCCATCCCCAGTGGTGAACTGTAGTCCTCCCACTATGAGTCAAAATAAATCCTGTTCTCAAGATCCTTCTTTTTGCAATAATGAGAAAATTAATAGATTCTCCCTCTTATTTTTATAGAAATTAGCACTTCAGTAGTCAACATGAGAACTCATATTGCTTTAGATAAAAATTTTCTTTCTTATTATAACCAATATTCTAAGGAAATATCATAATTTTAATTAGCCTTGGTAACACTGAAGCATCTAAAATACTTTCCAAGAAATTAGTTTCTTAAGTGCTTTATAATTTTAGTTTAAAGTATCTTGGGTTAATTATGTAATTCTTGGCAAAGATTCACTCTGCATAATCTATTTTATTTTTAAAAAAATAGACAACCAAAGTGTGAACTTAAGATTTGAAAATCACAAATTCATATTTCAAAAATATATCCCAGCTATAACTGAGCCAAAACTGTTTTTCCAAGTTTCAAAGAGAGACAATTCATGTAATGAAATTCACAAGGAATCACATTTGACTTGTGATAGTTGTCAGTGGAATAAAATATAAGAGCTGGTTTGATTTGTTTGCATTCGGAGTTCAAGTCCTCTTATATTATATATCAAATTTTCGTCAAAACTTTCCTAGGCCCCTTTCAGTCCCACCTGAGATGCAAAAACAATCCCATGAGTTATAAATCATCAAAATACAAATATTTCTCCTAGAGTGATATGCAAGTTGAAGAAATGGTGAAGCCAAGTGAATTCTTTGAAGAGGTTATTAAAAGTGACAGTGAGGAACATCCTGTCAACACATGCACAAAGGAATAAAGTGAAATCACTCAGCATTATAAGGCAAACAGCATGTGTTCTCGCTTATAAGTAAAGAGGGGCAAAAAGGTTATGTCATCCACACAGCGCCTGAATAGGCACAGAGGGGAAAGAGATAGGGTGTTGCACAGATGTAGACCAGAAGGAAAGAAGGGAATGTTATGGTGTACACAGGTAGTCTAGAAGGGAAAGACGGGGATAGTCAAGTGTGGGCAGGTGGAATGGAGAGGAAACAGGGGTATGATGAGGTAAAGACAGGGATAGAAGAGTGTGGGCAGGTATAATAGGGAGAAAATAGACGGATGGGATGGTTTGTGCTGGTAGAATGGAGGGAAAAGGTGGGTATACGATGCTGTATGCAGGTAGACCAGAAGGAAAACTAGAACTACCATGGTGGACATAGGTAGAAAAGAGGGAAAAGATGGGAATATGATGGTGTGTACAAGCACAAATATGGAGATAGGATGGTGTGTGCAGGTAGAATGCAAAGAAAATATAAGGATAGGAAGGGGTACAGGGAGAATGAAGGAGAAAGATGGGATAGAACTGTCTGGGCATCCAGGAAAGTAGCATAGGTACTTTCAAGTATCAACACTTATTCTTACCACAACTTGATCTTGATATGCTGTGTTTTGTTGATATTCATGGAAGGTCTGGCCTTTACCAAGTAGTAATGGAGGAGGAGTGGATGGGGGTATGCAAGAGGAGATTTCAAGGAGTGACAGGGAGGTGAGGAAGAAGTGGAAACTATGGTTGAGTTGTAAATACACAAATAATAATTTAAAAATTACCTTGTTTTTAATGTATAAGAATAAACTTAAGGATGATAGGCAGGGGTAAGATTAATAGAACTGTTTCTGCTGTCTCTAAGAGATATAATAATGATATAATTAAATAAATAACACTTAGGTGAAGGAATCAAATGTCAGGAGTATTAAGTTGTGATTTTCTGACTGGATGAGAAAATGAAGCATAGAGTACATAAAGTAATAACTAAAATGCCAACCTCAGATGGTGAAGACATCAGGAGTCCTCAGATAACAAGTGGAAATATTTTCAGAACTGCTGCCCATGTCATGGATGATGAGCGAAAATAAGAGTTTGGGTGGCAAGGAAAAAAAAAAGGTTTAAATTGGTTGGTTGGTTGAAAGAGAGAGAAAAGAGAGGTGAAAGAAAATAAACTTTGATAAAGCCACCTGAGTAATTTAAAATGGATGTTGGTACTGAACTGGGGGTAATAAAGGGAAAATGCAAACAGTTAATAACTATATTAAAATTGCTCAAACTATTTATTCATCAGAGAAATGTAAATTGAACTACTTTGATATTCCACACTATTCCGCTCATAATACCTAGCATCAATAAAATAAATGAAATTATTTCCAGTTTTACTCAACTTACTTTCTTTGTGTCCCTACGCATAGTAACTAA